TTGTGACCTGCACACTGGACTGTTTCTCTTCCTGCACACTGGACTGTCTGTCCTCCTTTTTTCCTCAGCAATTGCTTCTGTCCTCTTTTCCTCAGCAATTACTGAGGTTCAGCCCCAGCTCTGGGAGCTTTGATCCGTGCTTCACCGACAACAGCCGAGCCTGAAGTCAGCACAGCATGGATAAGGAGATCAGGTTGCTGTTCCCTGCCTCACGTGACTTTGTGGAATCTCTCCCTCAGCTCTGTGTGTCCATTTACACTGTGAGAGGGGGGAATGTGAGCAATGTACACACAGGGAGAAGTGTATATGTGTGTGCATGCCTCGTCCACACAGCACACATTCCTTCCACATAGTCATCCGTCTCAGTAAACCACCCTGACCCGGTCGGCACTTTTTATTAGGGTGTCTATTGTAGGACATGTGAGTATTGGCACCTGAGGTGAGTGTGCACCCGGCCTGCAGGCGTCCCCACTCCCTCCCTCAGAGGAGGGGAACAAGTGTAGCCCCCGGGCACGGACTCTGTGCTGGCACACGCCTCCCTATTTATAGAGGAGGGACAGCGCTGTCCCAGTCCCTGGAGGACAGGAGTTTCTTCAGTCAGTCCCCGGAGAGGGAGGGGAGAAGAGTGTCCTGGCAGTGCGGGCAAAGTTGAGGGGAGGAGGAGGAGTCCCTTTCGGAGAGTGTGCCTGGGCAGAACACACACAGGACCGGCGGCTTCTCCTCACAGCACACTGCGCTCACACCTCTGGACACACTGGGATGACTGGCTGGTCTGGGAGCCCGCACTGGACACTGCTGTGAGGGAACAAGCACCACCATGGACCCGGGGAACGTGTGACTGCTCCCATTATCTCCTCCACTGATATCTCATCGCTGACCTTTGGATGTAGTGTGCTCCTGCCTGGAGGAAGACTTCTCTCCACCATGGACTTCAGGAAGAAGGAGACCATGCACACCTTTATAGTCTATGTGTTGGCATTGGCAGCTTTCCTCCACACAGCAGAAGGTCAGTACTCTGATCACCTCCTATACATGACATCTGGATCTTCTCCATACACTCTACAATCTGATTGTACAATCTCTGCGCCGTTCCCTTTCCTGCCACAGTCCCCGCATTCAGTGTACGTTTCCACATATGTGCTTAAACGCGTCTGGGTGGCTAATCCAGCGCAAGACAAAGTGTCTCATGGTCTATTACTACATCACACTAGTATTTTTTTATGTACAGAACCATCCCCTGCACTGCACAGCGGCCAATAGAACGTCAAGGGCCAGTCTACACCTGAATCGCGCAAGAACGTGGACCGCATTCCTGTGCGAATCAGTGCGGTGCAATTTTCAGCTCATTCATTTCCTCCATTTGCTCCAAAAGTACTTTTCAAAAATGCACTGCACCAGATGTCACGATAATGCGTTACCACTGCGTTTGTAGTGCGAACAGCCTGCCCATAGTTGGATCGAAATTCGTCCAGTTCCTGCAGACTCAGCTGAATTTCATCTATGGCCGGCTTTAGGCAGCACTTTATGGGTGTGCATTTCCTCTGTACTAGTTATTTATTTATTATTTATTTCAGGTACTTATATAGTGCCGTCAATTTACGCAGCGCTTTACATATATATTGTACATTCACATCAGTCCCTAACCCTCAAGGGGTGTACAATCTAAAGTCCCTAACTCACATACATACATACACATACTAGGGGCAAGTTAGACAGGAGCCAATTAACCTACCAGCATGTTGTCTTTGGAGTGTGGGAGGAAACCGGAGTACCCGGAGGAAACCCACACAGTCACAGGGAGAACATGCAAACTCCAGGCAGGCGTTGGCGTGGCTGGGATTCGAACCAACGACCATAGTACTGCCAGGCGAACGTGCTAACCATTTACTGTTACTGTTAAAGTGGTAGTAAACCTCAAAAAAACAGCATATTGTGCTAGTATGCATCGCATTCAAGCACATTATGAAAGACTTACCTGAAAACGAAGCCCTCCAGCAGTGTGCTGGAACTGCTGTAGGCGCTTTCATCTTCACCCGGTCTTCCTTCTGGGTTCACGGACTTCGGCTGTTTGACTGGCTGGAGAGCTGCGGCATGGCTCTCTCAATGGAGGGCATACTGTCTATTGAGAGCGCATTACACATACGCCGGTGACATCACCAGCTGCTTACTATAGTAAATACCTCCTAAATGGTGCACATTCAGGAGAGATTGACTGTACGCACAGGTAAGCCTTATTTTAGGCTTACCTGTAGGTAAAAGTAAACAATGGGGCTTAACTACCACTTTACGAGAGATTTTCTTTCATGCAGTCTTTCCTGCAGTCATTCGATTCCCCCATCAACACAGTGTTGATGGAGGAGTCCCTCCTTTGGAGACATTGGGGGTTATTTACTAAAACTGGAAAGTGCAAAATCTGGTGCAGCTCTGCATAGAGAAACCAATCAGCTTCCAGGTTTTATTGTCAAAGAATTGAAAAAGCTGAAGTTAGAAGCTGATTGGCTACCATGCACCACTGCACCAGATTCTGAGTGATGCAGTTTTATTTATTTTATATATTACATGTACTTATATATCACCGTCAATTTACGAAGAGCTTTACACATACAGTCCCTAATCCTCAAGGGGCTTACAATCTAAGGTCCCTATCTACCCCATACACATACTAGAGCCAATTTAGAAACGAGCCACTTAATTTACCAGTATGTCTGGCATGTGGGAGGAAACCGGAGTACCTGGAGGAAACCCATGCAGGCACAGGGGGAACATGCAAACTCCAGGCAGGTGGTGCTGTGGAATTTTACCCTAGGTTCACATCTGTGCGGGTGGTGCCACTGCGGATCCACACGAAAATCCCTGCAGCCTCACCACCCGCACAGAGAAATGCGGAGCCCCCGGGCTAGTGCCGTTAGTTCCAATGGCATGCCGCTTGTACTAGAAAACACAACTGTACTGGGAACTGAGGTTCCTGTGCGGGCTGCATTTTCCGAGGAAGTGCAGGGACTTCTTCCCTGCGTATCATGGGCACGGGAGTCCATTCAAATGAATGGGCTCTCGTGCCCGTGCAAACCGCGGCCCACGCGGCCACATATATGTGAACCGGGGGTTAGTAAATCTACCCCATTCCCCATTGTGTTTTCCGGGGGGGGGGGGGGCATCTCCACCTGGAGAACACAGTGAGAACACATAGCGGCTATAATAGCCACTATCAATATCGCATGTAAAATCCAACAGACCGGTTGTATCCAGGTTGATCGATCAATCTATTTGGGTACATTCAGCCTGCCCATACATGGTTCGAATCTCAGACGGTCCCTGCTGAATCGGCCAAGATTCAAACTGTCTATGACCAGCTTTAAGCCGGCGATAGATACACATTCAACTATGTAGTGCAAGGGCCTGCCTGATTGCATACTAATTGAAAGTGTTTAGGATTGATCTCATATTATATGGTTTTGGTAAATCTAAAGAGAAATTGTACAAGAAAATTGCATAATGTATGGACAGCCTTTAGTGTGCTCATGGAAAGTCACATGAACATGAAAACTGTTGACATGTATGCAAGCCAGTTCACATCTGAGCAATTTGGAGCGTATTTCCTGAAGCACATCAGTGCTCATTTACCAAAATTCCCATTTTATTCAGTGGTGCTTGTCGCTTCAAGTTGTAAAATAGTATTTGATCTGGTTTAGGACAGAGCCATGTGTTTTTGGTCCTTATAGACTTCAAAGGGAGTGCTTGAAAAAACACCTGATAATGCATGATTTCTTGCTTCTAGCAAGCAGCTTTTCATTGTCAAAAAGAAGAATGCTCATACTTGAAATTGCCTATAAATGTCCCAAAAAACAGCATGTACTAAAAAGCTCCAAAAGCATTTAAAGAAGCTCAAGTGTGAACCTAGCCTAAGCTTAATGACACCAGCCCCATTAGGCAGCATTACCCAGTGCACTCCCAACCTATAGACAAGGCAGTTTGCCTAATGTCCTGTCATTTGAGTTCACACCAACATGCTGCATGTGAGCTAAAAAAAAAGTAGGGCAGGTTGCATTTTTACACAACGAAGAACATTGCGACACGCTACAATGCATCCCAATTGCTGCAGTGCATAGTGTTGCTCGAAATTGGCATTTGAGGACATTTGAGTAAAGTTAAAAAAGGAAACAGTGGAACAGTGCATCACACTTCCCTTACACAACGCACACCAGTAAGCACACAGTATATAGAGCATAACATGCGCCCACTGGTGTGAATGAGCCCTAAGTCTGTTTTTCCAGTATGTCTGACGTCATAAGGTTGATTTACTAAAACTGGAGAGTGCAAAATCTGGTGCAGCTGTGCATGGTAGCCAATCAGCTTGTCACTTCACGTTGTTCAGTTAAGCTGGAAGACTATTGCTTTCTATGCAGAGCTGCACCAAATCCTGCACTCTCCAATTTTAGTAAATCAACCTCATACCTCACTGTCATAGTTTTCTAGGAAAGGTATATGTGAATCTGTTGAAAAATTTCTTACCTAGAGATCCTGTCATTAACAGCACTTCCCGTTGCAGGGTTACAACATTAGGCTACTGTCTTGCAGTTAGCAGCAGCATTGTCAGCCTGCCGTGCAGCATAATCAGCTTGCCGTGTGAACTTCTTTAACAGGCCACCTGTGTGAAGGACCCCAGCGGTCAGCTGATGGAGGGCATGCAGGAAGTTGACAGTGCTTAAAGTGTTACTAAACCCACAATAATAAACTCAGTCTGTATACGCAGCAAAGCATACTTGTTATACTCACTGTGGAACCTAAGGAGTTTATCCTCTGCATTGTGTGGAAATGCTGTTTGATCCTGTCTTCTCCAATCCTCCCCTTCTACTGTCCCCACTCCATCTGCTGAAAGCACAAAGCTCTATGAGTCACTCTGCACATGCTCACTTTAGTGTGTATGTCTAGAGAGTTTTTTTTTTTTCTTTGGGAGGGTGCATTTGATCAGCACAGGGCCAATCAGCATTGTCCAGACAGAGGGTAAGGGGTTATGCATCCTCATAGGACAGTCAGTGCCGAATGAAAACTCCACCTATAAGCTTTAACCAGTGCTTAGCTGGACAGTGATAGAAATCACAAGACTGCTATATACTGCTGATGAGAAAAGGTATTTAGTTTATATTTACTAAAATAATTGCATTTCCATGTTCAGTGTACTGTGGGAGACCAGATATAGTGAATGCAGGGTCCTGGGTCTAGTAACACTTTAAATATATATTCACGAAAAGGCAGCAAGATGTGCTTGCAGTACCATTATTTCTTAATGACACTCCAAACACAGTACAAGGCAAAACACATAAAAATTAGCGCAAACCACGGAGTCACCAAATGTGCCTGGCTCAGTGCCAAAATTTGGCTCCTGGTCTTCTTTGGTGCGTTTGTTGTGCATCGAGCAGCCCATTCTAGTGAACGGGCTGCCCTATCTGCGATGTGCGAAAAACATGCAAAAAAAGCGAGGGATAATGCGTGTTCCCGCCACTCGAAGTGTGAAGCCTGCCAGAGGAAATGCTGTTACTGGCAGGATCTTCAGAATTAAAAACTTTAAAGTCTGCAATTCTTGCCGGCGGAGAAACTATTTCTATGCACACTCTGTTCAAAAAACAGCCGCACAGACTGATAGGTAAGCTGTACAAATCAATGGGCGGGTCCATTGCTGTTCACATGTAACTGTTCTTCCAACTCTGGCTCTGGAGGCAGATAGTTTACATTCAGGGAAAGTGGTTCTGGCCACACATAAACTGGTTGCAGCTTTCTGTCCAGTTTGCATGCAACCAGAGCATAGAGTGCTGCTGCATCCAACTCAGAACACTGCAATTCAGCTGTCCATCTGAATAAGCACTAAAATCTGTCCAAAGTGAGACATGATGTCAAATGTGCTAAAAAGTACTTTTTGGGTTTGCATACACTTTAATCATTTATTATACCCAGGGCTTTTTTTCTCATAAAATAGGTGCAGGAACTCACACTCTGCATGCAACCCCCCCTCCACTGCCCCCATCTTTTCCCTCCTTAAAAGTTCCATCATCTTCCATGCTTTATTTTGGTGCTGTGTTAAGCTGAAGCACCCAGTCAGATTTAGTAACTCCCCTCCTACAAATGGTAGATAATCCAGTAGGGGTGTTGGCATCTGCACTGCGCCCTGGGCACCTGCATCTCCCTTGTCCCTATCCTTCACTCAGTGGGAGCCGCTCAGGGATCAGATCTATGAGAGCCCTTGGGAAACAAGCTGTCACTTGTAAAAACAGAAGACAAACTTCTGTCTTTACAAGTGATAGTAGTGAACAGGGAGCAGAGGGCCTGAGCCAGAGGAGTTCCAGCTGAAAAAAAGCCCTGATTATACTTCATTGTGCCTTTTCCATTTCTTTTGTTTTGTTGCAGTGTACTGCAGAACTGCTGGTAAGGAGTTAAAGTATTACTAGAACACAGTAGATTTTAATGTTCATCGAAATACAGTGCTGTGGCAGAGAAAGACTTTCTTATCATGATGTAGCCATGTCAGTGTAGTGATGATCTTCTCAGATTGTAAATGAAGTATAGTTAGCACTCACCCCCCACACATCTTTCTTGCTCTTCCATCTGCTGGGGTCATTTTATAGAATTCAGTTAGTGAGATCTGTGCAGCTATAAGTAGAAGTGACAGGGAAGTTGTGTATTTTATATACAAGAAGTGCTTGTTCACTATGATTATACCAGCACATTTCTTCAAGGTTATATGTCAGAGTGTGACTGTTAGGCTACTTTCACACTGAGGAGTTTTTGAAGCACTTTTGCATTAAAAAAAGCGCATGAAAAGTTCAAGAAAAATGCTTCCCTATGTATGTTTATGTATGTCTATGTATGTTTTCACAGTGGGGTGCTGTGCTTCCATTCCGTTGTAAAGTCCTGCTTGCAGCATCATTGGTGCATGTTTTTTTAAGTTAAAAAAAACCTCTCCAAAAACACCTCTTCCCATTTAAATCAATGAACAATGCCTCCAAGAAGCGTTTTTGGTGCAGTTTTTAAGTCACATGTCCTTTAAAAAAAATGCTCAGAAAGCGTGGCAAAAGCTTGGCAAAAATGCATATGCGTTTTTGCCGTGTTTTTGCGGTGCATCAGTGTGAAAGTAGCCTTACATTGTAACTTTTCTGCAAGTATCAATATCATTAGTTCACTGCACCCACAATAATGTCACTCCTGTGTATACTGATCATGCAGTCAGCACTGTTCTAGAAATTGCAACCAGCTTTTGATCGTAGCAATTACTAATTGGATCAAGTCGTGGCTACCACCAACTGCACTTTTTTTTTGCAAATAAGCTGAAACATGCCCTTTGAAAGGTCAGAAATTGAGCTACTCTGGCTCTAATTGATGAAAAGTCCTTACCCTTCTACATCTCACAGCATAGAATGCATGAAGGTAAAAAACCTTCAGCTTTTACAACCACTTTAAAGCTTGTAGGAAGAGTTTTCCTTCTCCTCTGACTATCCTATGAGGCTGCATAACCCCTGACCCTCTATCTGGACAGCGCTGATTGGCCCTGTGCTGATCACATGCACCCTTTTAAAGACAAAAAAAAAACTCTCTAGCCATACTCACTAAACTGAGCATGTGCAGAGGGACTCCTAAAGCTCTGTACTATCAGCAGATGGATTGGGGACAGTAGAAGAAGGGGAGGATCAGAGAAGACAGGATCAAACAGCCTTTTTACACAATGCAAAGGGTTAACCGCTTAGGTTTCACAGTGAGTATAACAGGCATGTTTTACTGCATATACAGGCTAATTTTACTGTTGTGGGTTTAGTATCACTTCAAATGCAAAGTGTTCCATTGATTTCAATGCAAAACTGTGTCCTATTGACCTCAATGCAACATTGCTTCCCATTGACTGCAATGCAAAAACGCCCCCTATTGACTTCCATGCAAAAACGCCTTTATTTAAGTTCTTAAATTTTATATGTATTTCATTTTGTTTTTTGTCCAATTTTTGTGTGTTTACTTTCAATAAAAGTTAATTTACGTTACTGGATTGTATTTTTAAAATTCATATTTATTTATTTATTTATTTATTTATTTATTACAGGTACTTATATAGCACTGTAAATTTACGCAGCACTTTACATATATATATTGTACATTCACATCAGTCCCTAACCCTCAAGGAGTGTACAATCTAAGGTCCCAAACTTACATTCATACATACACATACTAGGACCAATTTTGACAGGATCCAAGTAACCTACCAGCATGCATGTCTTTGGAGTGTGGGAGGAATCCCGAGTACCCGGAGGGAGTACTGCCAGTTTAAATTCATAATATTAATTAAAAACTCGAATATAATACAATTATATATAAAAAATAGATATATTTTTTTAAACTGTTTATTCTGCTTTCAGTTTTTCGGACACGTGCATCCTGAATTTTCGGTTTCATTCTAGATTTTTCATTTCGGTGCAGTACTAATTAGCAGTCCTGATATAAAACATCCTCTGTGTGAATTTGTCAGCATTTGCACAACTATCACAAATAATCCCCATCATATGTCTAATATGTTTATTTCCTATGATCGTCAGCTCCATCTAGTGGCCATAATGCGGTATTTTCCTGAAACACTTGAATCAGGAAAATACTGCATTATGGCCACTAGATGTTGTTGATGATCATAGAAAATAAACGTATTAAGCAAATTACAGAGGTTATTTGGAATGATTGTGCCAACGCTGACACATTCATATAGCAATTTTTTATACATAGACCCCTAAGTTTTTGTTTAGAGCAACTGCCAATGCAATACTTTTAACATATATTCATTTTGTTTTGTTTTGTAAACCAATGTCTGTTTTGGGTAGAGTTTACAGCCAGTAAACTGGTAGATGCAGGTATATATAATTCCTCTGTGTGGCTGGCCCTTATGGCCACTGCACAGATGATATGGCTCCATGAATTTGCTAAGCACTCTAGGTCTGTAAAATGAAATGTGTCGAATTAATAGGCCTGTGCACCTGAAGCAATTTATTCCCATGGTTTGCCTTGTGGAATTCTATGTTTATACATGATGCGGAGGCTGAATTGTCAGACTGTGGAGAATGTGGGTGGACCTTTTCATACATAATGCTACAGTGCAAATTTCAGGATAATAAAAAATGACTTGTCTTTTTCTTTGCGTGTCACAGGGTAATATAAATAATTTTGTTGGTCTAATTGTGTTCATCAGTAGGACAGCCGTATCTTCCTCACCATGGTCCATAGCAGCTTTAAAGAAAGTTCGGATGACAGAGGAAGAAATAATGTAGTGCAGTTGTCCAATGTATGCAGGTTTATTGCATATTTATGTATTTTTATTTTATTTGATCTATAAAAATATTTATTGTATGCACAAAAGAAAAGAGGCTTATTGCACTAGGTTAACACTTAAAGTGAAACTCTACTTTGCTCGTTCAAGGCAAGTAACAAGCTAGCAGGCCCATTCATTGTTGTTCCTGCACTCTAACTGCCTCAGTTCCCTATCAGAGCCCCAACAAAAAGGGGACTTGTGATTCTTTCCCAATCCTTCCACTATATACAGTGGGGCAAAAAAGTATTTAGTCAGCCACCAATTGTGCAAGTTCTCCCACTTAAAAAGATGAGAGAGGCCTGTAATTGGCATCATAGGTAGACCTCAACTATGAGAGACAAAATGAGAAAAAAAATCCAATCACATTGGCTGATTTGGACAGAATTTATTTGCAAATTATGGTGGAAAATAAGTATTTGGTCAATATCAAAAGTTCATCTCAATACTTTGTTATATATCCTTTGTTGGCAATGACAGAGGTCAAACGTTTCCTGTAAGTCTTCACAAGGTTGGCACACACTGTTGCTGGTATGTTGGCCCATTCCTCCATGCAGATCTCCTCTAGAGCAGTGATGTTTTGGGGCTGTCGCTGGGTAACACGGACTTTCAACTCCCTCCAAAGGTTTTCTATGGGGTTGAGATCTGGAGACTGGCTAGGCCACTCCAGGACCTTGAAATGCTTCTTACGAAGCCACTCCTTCATTGCCCGGGTGGTATGTTTGGGATCATTGTCATGTTGGAAGACCCAGCCACGTTTCCTCTTCAATGCCCTTGCTGATGGAAGGAGGTTTGCACTCAAAATCTCACGATACATGGCCCCATTCATTCTGTCCTGTACATGGATCAGTCGTCCTGGTCCCTTTGAGGAGAAACAGCCCCAAAGC